CATGGTCAGAAGCCTCACGCCCCTGGACAGGGATAGGTCATCCTGGCAACAGCTGGGCGCAGGCAGATGGCACCCCTTGTCACCTTTCCTCCTCCCACGTAGCATGAGCCAGCTCAGGGACTCAGGCCATCGGGCAGCTGAAGACCCCACCTTTGGCAGAGGACAGATGAGAGTGGTGGCATGGCTTGACCCCACCTGGGCAGTGGGCGAAGGGGGCAAGAGTGCTTCCGCAGACTCCCACGCAGGGATAGGGCACGAGCACCTTGGCGGGGGGAGGAGCCAGGTGCAGCCCGGGGTTCTGGCTGATCCTGAGTGGGGGAGCCATGGGGGTCGGGGTCAGCACACCCAGAGGCACGGCCAGCAGGGGCTGCCCAGGCAGCAGGCACACAGGGAGGCGGAGGAGAGACGGGCGGGCGACGGGCACCTGCGAGGCGTTCATGCAGATTCTGAGGACAGTGGGGCATGGAAGGCTGGAGCAGCAGGGGACAGAGACGGAGCTCATCCGTCAGCTGGTTCCAGTGGACCTGAAGGGGCAGAGAGCACGAGGAGCCAGGACAAATAGGTAAGGGGCAGACACTACTGTCACTTCCACTTCCAGATGAGATGTGCTCAAGCCATTCCACCATGAAAAGGAACCAAGAAGGCACAGGGAGGACATTTGGTCAGTGCTTCAAATGTCTAGCCTCCGTGGGCCCCTCTCATGTCAAGGCCCCTGAGTACCACCTCTTGGTACCCTCATGCCCTCTCAGTGACGCCAGCTGTTTCCTTTGGTGTCCCTGACCACCAAGCTGCCCTGTCCTGGTTCCTTCCGGATCCCTATTCAACTCACGTGGAGCTCCTGGAGGGCAGAGCACATGTCACCTTTGTCCCCACGGCTTAGTCCCCGTGGCTAGCCCACGGGAATTCCCGCACACACACCCACTTAGAGAAGCGAGCACCGGGGGTTGGTCCTGGGAAAGAAAGGTCTCTGAGTCAGTGCATCTGGAGCAGGTGAGTAAAGAAAGCCACGTGGCTTATCCCAGATCCTGCTCAAGGGACAGTCCAGGCCCTGGGAGACCGGCCGCCCTGCTTACCAACCCTCGCAGAGCTGAGGATAGTGGGTCTCCGGGAGGGGCAGGCGGCGGCTGTGCTTGAGCAACTTTGAGAGACAAGCGCTCTAATGAGTCAACATGTCAGTGCCCCGTGGCTCCCACACTGTCTCTTTCCTGAGAATGCCACTAGCTCCAGACGCCTCCCAAAGAAACAGGAAGAGCTTGACAACACGTTGAAGTTCACTCCACGGGGAACTCGGCTCCTTCCAGTGGGCCCTCTCCACCTTAGGAGCTGGTCCCAGACACAGGGACTCTCAGTGGAGCAGCAGCACCTGCCCACCCCCAGGAGGGAGAGTTTGCACTGTCTCCCGATGGGTGGAAGTCAGCATTCCCAGAGGAGTCCTGTTCCCCAGCACAGCCTCATCCATCTGTGCAACTGGGGGACAGTCTGGATCATCTCTTCTGGACAAGGCTCTCTGCTCTAGACTCAGTCGCCACGTGTTTTCGACACACCTTGACCTTCCTAAGCACATGCTCTGACTGCAGGGAAGGAGCTCCTCACGCCACGCAGGCACTTTACACGCACGGTCCCATGGAACCTGGTGATCAAGTAGCATTAGTAACCTTATTAGGCTCTGGGAGAGCTGCAGAAACCGTGCAAGGTCACGTAGCCCCCAGGAATCTGGAACCTCGCTCTTGGCTCTTGACCTTGACACCAATGTGTGCAAAGTGACCTCTTCCCCCAGGGCGTTCTGAAAGGGGGTACTCGCTTCTGCTTGGGGAGGCCTAGGGGTCTGTATGACTAAGTGAGCTCTGGTGGGGAGTGGGGAGAGATCTGGGAACCTGCTCATACTGGATCAAGCTGTGAACTCTGACTTACTATGGGGCTTAACCTTCACACCTGTCACCTGTCACGTAACCCCACATCACCTTAGGAGCACTGGAACTCCCGGATCCCGAGACCCGAGCTGGAGAATGAGCTTCAGCTCTCTGCTGGGATCAGCAGGCCTTCCAGCTGCAGCTGGGACACCACAACTGGCTCCTCACAGCTTGTGTAAGGGGACTGCCTACTCAGGGGACCATCCACCTTAACACTCACCCTCAGACTTAATCAAGTGATCCTCAGCCTGCACATGGCTGGCATCTTGGTAATCTCCCAGTGGCCATCCGTCTGGGCCCAAAGAGCTAATTAAATTGCACAGCTCTGGAAATCACATGCTCCCTACACAGATGGTCCTGGGTGTCTTCACGAGCCCTGAAGCACGACCTCCCCATGGCTTGTCCGTCACCTGGCTGGGGCAGCGAAGCCTCTTCTGACCCAGACTTTTGCTTCAGGTCCCGGGAATGACATCACCCTCCGAGTTTCTGTCCGGGCTTCTTGTGTTGACGGGTACGTTGAGGACCTTGAATGATGACCTTCCTGCTGGCATGGAATCCAACCTGGTCCCGCCAGGCCTCAGTGCTAGGGGCTCCCGGACTTGCTGTGGTTCCTCTCCTGGCCCCCTCCCCACCAAGGTCCTCCTTCTTTAACCCCCTGGAGCTGTGATATCTGCTCCGGTCTCCTCCCTGAGTGTCAGTTCCTCCAGGGCAGGGAGGCGGGGCCCCTTCATGCTATCTCTGTGGCTTTCTCCCAGACTGTCCTGTCAGAAAGGCCATCGCTGTTTGCCAGATTCAGTAATTCAACAATATGCAGACCTGTGCTGGGTCTGGCTAACAGGGAAGAAAGGGTTTGGCTTGAGTTCCCTGAGCTCAGACACAGCCTGGCCATATACAGTCCCCAGCATGTGGCCGGTGTTGACAAAGGTTGGTTGAATGACTGAATGTTTGGACCCTGAGACGCATACCTGAATAAGTGGCCACATGCTTGTGCTCAACGGCCCCTTGGTGGGTTAGGAAGGAAAGTCCTGTGTGCTATTAGGGTACTGGGCCAGGTGCCGGGAGCCGTGGGAGAGGCCTACATGACAAACTAACAATGTTGTCGTCTGTGGTGCCTCTGCCCTTCCACAGGCCCTGACCAGCTGTGCCTTAGTGGCTGGTGTCTGGAGTGCTGTCTCATCTATGGGTAGGGCCTGTTGTCACTAGCCTGACTTCCATCAGACTTGGAATGTCCTTGGGGCCCCACCACCAGGGTCCCACAGTCGCATCAGCAGTTCCCGCAGCCTGTACCCTCCTGCTGGCCAGGACTGGGCTGCCTCCTTTTCCTCCTGCAAGTCTCAGCTCATGACACCTGCAGATTCTCATGCCCCAGCCATGGACCCCGCGGCCCTCTGTCCCACCAGCCCACTGCGTTCCCGTTATAGCAGGCTCCAGAGTCCACGGTCGCCCTACTACCCTCCACGGGGTGACTCCAGGGTGGGCAGGCCAAGGAGGACAGGGCTTTGACTGATTTTCTTCCAAGCTAAACCCCAGGGTCTGAGATGGTGCTTTGCTCAGCAAATTTTACTGACTGGAGGACAGAGTGAGGGAACACACTCTATCTTACCCACGTGGACCATGGAAAAGGCTTTTGAAGAGTCCCCACGGCTCAGGCCTTCTGGGTCCAGAGCTCTCCTACTCCCCATGCCATGGGGAGGCTCCACTTCTGCACATTTCTGCCTGCCTTGTCTGCCCCCTCAGTCTTCTGCAATATTTTCTTTGCTCTTCACAGAGCAGGCACTTCCCTGAGCTGTCGGGGGGAGCATGTCTCTGTTACTGGGTGTCTTCTAAATTTAGACACAGCCCCAGTGTTTTTAATTCATTATCTTCACGAACTACAGTCAGCAAGGTTTCTAAATGACTGTCTCAGGGTACGATGTCCTGGCTGGGTGGGGCCATGGGGCACAGCCCTACATCTGTTCTGATCTGGCTGGGACTGACTATGTGACTGTGGGCCAGCTGCTGTGGTGTCCTCCTGTCCAGACACGCTGCAAGGAGCTTGCAGAGGACCAGCTGAGCACGGTGCTCTGGCCTCCCAGCTTACACACCCATCCCAGGACTGGCCTTCCAGAAGCCTCCACCTCTCCCACCAACACAACACACCCCAGTCCCTGTGCCTAGCTTCCCTGCTTGAGCCTCATACATTATGAATAGGGTAATCACACACACACACATCCATTCCCACACGCATAAAATAATAAATAGATATATGTAGACTAAATATGTATTCTGTTTCACACCCATGATGAAGGAGAACAAGGCTACCCATTACCCCTCACCTGATTCATCCGATATCAACACTTGGCCACACTGGCCTGCTTTCTCTCCTCCTTTCTCTTTCTGCATCTTAACATCTTTTGAGTGGACTGTCTGGAAGTTGTGCCTCCACACAAGCACAGCACATTCCCCAGGGGTTGGCATGGCCCCAAGTGACCAAGAGGGCACCTAACTCCCAGGGCCCCTGCCATGGTCCTCTTTCTGGCTTTCCCCCTTGATTCAGGACCCCTCCTGGTGGGGACTTGCTGCCCTCTCTGGCCTCCTATGATCTGGCTCTGGAAGATCTGCTCTTCTTGCTCCCTGCAGCTTCTTCTGGTAGATGCCCAGCAGAGGTGGGGGCAAGTCTTGCCAGGGAGGCTGTGGGCAGCTCAGCCATGTCGAGGGCTGGCTGCCTACTGTTTCAAGTCCCCAGCAATTGACAACTGCTTTTTGGCAGAGCCAGGACAGGAAGCTTGATTCTGGGATCCATTTGACAGTGACATAAGAAAGCTGTAAAAATTGGGAAACTCAAAAAAAAAAAAAAGAAGTGACAGTTAGCTAAGCCACAGCCTCTTTGGGCCCTGAGAGCTCCAGGGATGCACATGAGCAAAATCTCAGCCCATCTGCCTTTTAATTAGAGAGAGAGAGAGGGTGAGAGTGGGGGGCGGGGGAGACCAAGTTTCTGAAAGCCCTGGCCATTTAGAATCAAGCTGCCTATATTCTCAAGTGCTTTGTAAAAAAAAATTAATAATGCCTCTCTCTTCCCCGTCCTTGCAGAGAGAAGTCAGCTCCGGGTGGTTGCTGAAAACAGGAACCTGCCCTTCTGCAAGCCCCGCGCCTTCCTCGTTCTCACAGAGGAAGTGTGTGGCGGTTTAGCAACTGTGGTGCCTCTTGATAGCAAGGGCTTCTCCTCTACCCCTCTGGAGCCCTGGCCGTCTGCTCATTCTGGAGGAGCAGCCACTGATGGAGAGGCGGTGACCCCGTGCCTGGCCGCCCCTCCGCCGCCAACTCCCAGGGGAGACCATGCCCAGCGTTTGAAGGTACCTTGGGGGATGTGGCAAGAACTGGGTGGGGAGAGCCATCAGGGCCCCTCCGATGCACAGCTGGCAGAGGTGGACTTTCTGGAGCTAGAGAAGAGCTGAGGACATGAGGGAAGCATGTTGGAGGAAGCCCAGCACCCAGCACTGAGTTTGACACCGGAGCTGCTCACTGTGCCCTGGGTGCACTGTTCCAGGGGAAGAAGGGCAGGGAAGGGGAGGGTGGGCAGGTCACGTTCCTGCCAGGTGAGACAGTCTCAGAGCCTGGTACACAGCAGGCTTATCAACCACCCCAGGCCTTCATTTTCCCATCTGTGAAAAGGAAATAACTGCACCTAGTTCACAGAGCAATTGGCCGGATTCAATGAACAACATGCACAGTGCCCAGTCAGTTTCAGACACCAACACCGTGGGTGCCTGGAGTCCTGGTGTCCAAGGGCACACGGAGCCTAGCTAAACTGGGGATAGCAGCAGTGCTGGGTGAGGTCTGGCAGCATGGATCTAGTTTGGGAAGGTGCCAAAGATAAGTGACAATAACCTAAGTAGGTGCTAGGTGCGTGGGGGAGGAGGGAGCTAAGGGCAAGGTCTATATAGGAAATCATAAATTCTGAAATCACGCAAGTGCAGACTGGAAAAGACTCGGGAGAAGCAGCGCTTCCTAAGGAGGCTGGCACACTTCATTTTGTTTTACAGGTTTACTTATCAAGAGATTCTAGTCTCAGAGAATGACCTGGGCTCTGGCCTCAGAATGGCCTGACTGGGTCTGTGAGTGGGGTGTGAGCAGGTGGGGACCGTCCTAAGTGACAAGAGGGGCATGGCATGAAAAGTCACGTTCATGCAACTCTCGGGACAATCCTGCAAGCTTGCAATTGTTATTTGCTTTTGACAAATGAAAAAATGAGGCTCAGAGAGGCATTGAGGGGCTGAGGTGGGGAGGGTGGACCTCAGGGAGCACAGGGGAGCTAAGGACAGTGGCATCTGTTTACAGTGATACCCTTCATTTTAGGAGAATTCCATCCCATTTTCTGTGAATTGTCATTCTGCTGTTGACTGTGATATGCTGTGTTTTGGGTCTATTAAACTGTGGTCCTTTTAAAACTGGGTAGGGGGTAAATGGAAGAGCTGGCAAATTCTGTTGCAATTAATAATCTCCAATTAGAAGAACACTATCTAGGAGTGCTTAGTGAGTTCTGGAAAGTAGAGTAATGATAACTCACGAAACAGACTGATAGAAACCCATTAAGACTCCTGCGTCTCAAACAGCTCTAGAATCAGGGCAGCAGGATGGCATTATAGGAAGCCAGTGATATAATCAACTACACCTGAATCAACACTCCAGGTCAACCACCAATGAGCTGTGTGACTCTGGGCAGGTCACTTTGCCTCTCTGAATGTCAGGTTCTTCCTTGTGAAAAGGATAAAACAGCTTCCTCATGTGCAGGAATTGTAGGTGATGCAAAGGGCTAAATAGTAGCTATTAGTATCATTCCTAAATCAAACAGTGAAAGTATGTCTATTCCCTCTGGTATTTCTAGGCAGAAAACTGTTAGCCAGCAATGGTAAATATGGTGGATCAGGTTGCAAAACCAACAAGCCAGGCACTCCTTCTCCATTTTTCTGAATACATATCTCGGCTTGTTCCTCCATCTGACATAAATGTGGGGAGGTTTGCATCGCAGCAAACTGAAACTATTTTCCTAAGATCGAGAAACTTCCTCACTCTGAGCAGCGTGAGCGGGCGCTGTGCTTCTGAGCAGAGCACTTTTCTTACAGACAGAAATTATTCATGCCACTGCGTCTCATCAGCTTCCTGCATTAATAGATGCTGCTCAGTTTTAATTTTTCATTTCACACTCAGCAAGAATTTATTTCCCCCAGCTCCAAGAAAAGCTGGAACTTAAAATTCTCGTTAAGAATTTCCAGCTTGTCAGACCGAATCATTTGAATTTTTAACAACCTGAGGGACATGTTGGTACATTTATGCACGTGCCTGTCCATCCATCCATCCACCGTCCGTCCATTTGTTCCCTCAGTCAACATGCACTGAGGCCACACCATGTGATTTTCCCCTCTCGACACCTCCCCAGGGTTCCTTAGGATTTAAGTACATCTTGTCCAAACCACTTCCTCTCATCTGAGCTCCGCGAAGGGAGGGGCCACAGTTGATTACGTAACTCCAGGTCCAGCCAGATTTTTTTTTTTTTAATCTGGGCAGCCTGGGACCATGGTGGAGGGCTTGGTGTGCCAGGGGAACCAAGAGTGAGCAAAGCCAGGGAGACTTAAAGAGCTTCAGAAGAAAGGGGGACTTGTGCCCTGGCCTGTCTTTAGGGACCCTGCACTGGGCCAGGCCCTTTATATAGAACACCGTTAGTCATTCTGCATAATTAATCGTGCACAGATTATGTGACAGTCTCCTGCAATTCATGTTTTTTATAAATTGAGGAATAGACATGGAACAAGTCTGTAGAAAGTTTCTGGAGGTGAGGTGGTCAATACCTGATGACCACCAGGGTGTACGCCATGAAGGAGACCAAGAGCCAGGGAGAGGGAACGGAGGAGCTGGGGATGTAGGTCGAATGGAATCCTCACGTTAATCCTGGGAAGCGCTGCTCCCCAGATTATGGCTGTGTCGCTGCTCTCCCTCCTCGTGGATGATCAGCTTAAATCCTGCAGCCTCTGAATTGAAATTCCCAGCGCCCTGAGTGTCCTGACCCCCTCTCCACCTGTCGTTCTCTCAATATCCCCAGTGGTCCAGCCACTGACACCTATTATGAACATGACCCTCCAGCACACAAAGCAGTGGCACTGTCACCTTGTCACAGGAAAGGAGAGCTGTAGCTCCATTCGAGCCCCCACATCTCCCTGTGCTGAAGGGCGTGGACCCGAGAGCCGCTCTGGAGCCACACCGCTTGGATTCAGGGCTTGCCTGTGCCGCCTACCAGCTGGCTGGCTGGCCAGGCCAACTGTGCAGGTGCTCTGGCCTTGACTTCCCAGGTTTGCAAAGCCCTAAGCTCGAGGATGCTGCCACACAGAGGGCGCGGCCCGGGGTGAGCGCTCGTGAGCCCCGGGGGGCGAGGACCTTGGCACACATCACACACGGGCCTCTTTTCCTCCTGCTGAGCTCAGGGGAGCTGGCAGGGGCTGGGATGATGCAGGAGGGCTCCACCAGGTCCCCCGTCTTTACAGAGAGGCAAGTGGTCACCCACATGAGGAAAGGAGCATGCCCACCATCTTGGGGAAATTAGTGAGCCCACCATGGGTTCTAAAGATGTAATGGTGGAGAGTAGAATATGGGGGAAATTGGACTGGAGCCCCCCATTCAGAGGGTTTCATGACACCAGGCTGACAGCTCAGGGCCTGGGCAGAAGGGCAGAGCTGGCAGCTGGGTCCTCTGTGGCAAATGCCAGGTGAGAAGTGACTTCCAACAGTCAGAAGGAAGGGCTGCATGCACAGGGCAGGGGATGGTGCGTCCCATCTCTGCACCTTCTCCTGCGGCCTCACAAGCAACCCCGGTTCTGAAAGTATCTGCTCCTTAATGCAAAATGCCATTATTCTGGTATAAACACAACCAAAGGAATTAGGGCTGGGATCTGAGATCCAAGATTTCAAAGCTGACCCCAACCTTGAAGCAGCTGTGTGATCCTAAGCAAGTAACTTAGCCTCTCTGAGACTTCCCTCATCTATAAAATGGGTGGGCTCTTTGGGGCATCCGAAATACTTAAAACATTCATTAAGTATCTAATTTAGGTCTTCCACATAGTGGAAGCTGGGCTTGACAGCTTGCAATTGATAGCAATCTCTTCTTTTTAAAAAACAAATGGAGATGTCTACAGGCAGCCATTGCACATATGAATAACTGTCCAGAGAAAGAATCAGTGAAGCAGGTGTCCACTCCAGTGTGCCTGGAGCCGAGACCCACCCGGAACATCTCTTCTTAACTACACACAGAAAGGTGGCGGCACAGGCTGGGAGTGAGGCTCGGTGGGAGGTTCCCACCCCAGACTGGCAACAGCAGATCAGTGGCACCTGGCACTGACCGCCCACAGGCTTCAGCTCACCACTGGGCCACTGTCCTGGGCACACCGCTTCAGCTTTTATCTGTTCTTTCTATTTTCTTCTGAACTCCTCGGAATGACCAGCTCAAGGGAGCAGAAGAATCAGTGGCTGTCTTTTTGGCGCCTAGGGTCCAGCAGGGGAGGCGGGTGACCGCAACATCCAACAGCGCATTGCAATCCTCCCCAGGGAGGCAGGGAGGGGGACCCAAAAAACAAACAGCCCAGGTTCTCCCTCGCAGCCCACAGGGAACGTCTGAGGATCTCTTTAGAGTGAGGACACCCCACCATCTGCCTCATGACCAGGACGCAGGGCATGGGCACCCTGGCAGGTGATTCCCACAACGGGCAGACTCAAAGCAGGGCTTGCCGTCCGCACATGGGATTCCCAGTGCCCCTGACAAGTGCGTGAATGAAAAGCAAAACCAGCTCTTGCTGGGAAACGTGACGTAATAAAGAAATTGTGCCTTGCCAATCCCTGGGCCTAGATTTCTGGAGGCCTCTAGCATCCCACAGAGGTGCCCTTTGCCTCTTCCTGCTCTGATGAACACTTCCTCCCCAGGACCCACATATCCTCTTGCGCAGCCAGTACTTTCCCATGCTGCTCAAAAGCTAGCGTCAGGGTAATCGCGCTTGTAGCTGTTTGCTCATTGCTGACCCTTTGATGTCACCAGGTCACAGCTTACTTTGGTATCCAGGACCTGGCCTGGGACCAGACCCCATCCACATCCTGGGGGTTGCCAGAGAACTTGTCCTGAGCCCAGCAGAGCCAGACTGGGTGGTGCCTGTCCCTAGTCACAGAGGATGGGGCCTCAGGAAAGTGGGAGGGATTTTCTGTGGACTATTGACGCCATGTTGGGGACAGCCCCTGACGTCCACCCTGCGCACCACACACGGCCCATTCTGCTGCAGCACATCTGGGTCCTGGAGGCCCTGCGTCCCCAGAGTGTA